CATCTAATTTTATCTTCCAATATGATCCTGCTTAAGCTTTGAACCCTGTTTAATTGTATAGCTTTTTTAATATGTTACTATTCTGTCTAGTATTTAACAGGTAAAATTGCATTGGAAGAAAAGAAAGACACTTTTAGGGAGTGGACTTCTAGGAGACCGTGGAAAGAAAGGAAAAGAGCAGCCAGAGCAAGGGAAAATGCTGCTTCAAGATTGGTTTCAGAAACTGATCATCCTGAACTTATTTTTTATGGGAAGGCTTCTGGGGTGGTTGGCCTTAGCAAAGATGAATTATATCAAACTGTGAGTAGCATTGAAGTTTCAAGCTCCGGCTATGACAAGGTCAATTTGTTTTGCCCAAAATCTTTGTTAGAGTTGTTAGATCTCAGTGAATCTTTGAATCTAATGATTGGTTGAAATTTCATTCAGGTCCTTGTTGATGCAGAATGTACCCATGATGGATCAATTAGACATATCCAAAAATTTGAGCATTGGGGATGGGAAACTCTAAATGGGCGTGTACTGAATGCAGAGAGATCTGATAACTTGACCACTCTTCAGGTGATTGACCTTTTGTTCCATTACTTATGGTAATGCACACTGCTTTTCTGAATGTTTAATGGAACATCCAATTCAGTTTCCCACATATTGGGGCTGAAGCTAGCACATTTAAGTTTTTCATGTGTTAAGAATGAAGCCTGCCTTTTATAATTGTTATGCAAAATCAATTCAAGAACTTTTAGACAATTCATTCTTTTCTTGAATGTTAATAAATAGGCACTTCCTTTTGCAGTTAAAACTTCTAATAAATGGTTTTAGGCTATTAAGAGTTGGGGGTTCATTGGTCTACAGCACTTGCAGGTATGTTTTCTAGAAAAATCCCTATGGCTTGCAAGAACATATGCATAAAGACACTCAAAATCAGTTTTCATTTTATCTAAATCAGCTACTTGATTTTCAGTTTGACAGTTTCCCAGAATGAAAATGTGGTCGAGTGGTTTCTCAAAGAATTTTCTTCTGCTGGTAAGGTTACTATGGTCCTCCGTGTAGTGAAGATCATGAGTTGTTTATTTTATTCATTTATTGATTTTGTTGTATTGTTTTGGAATTAAGACCATGCTGTGGTTCCATGATTTCATGAAGCACATTGGATTTATGTAGAGCCGTAGTATTGTGTTGCTAATAGAAATTTTGACAATCAATGTACCCCAAATGCCTTCCAAATTACCACCACTTTTCCTGGTTATTCAAGTCACATATCCCTGAATCTTCTTTTTGAGTGTAAGTTTTAAGTCTTAGTTGCTCATTGACTAGTTACTTTTGCTTAGGTAGATGCCCCAAGGATGCAGCCGTGTATGACAGTAAAATCCAATTTCATTGATGCTCTTTAATTTTGCTTGGCCATTCATAAACAAATATGGTTGTTTAATCTTTGTGAGAATTTTCTTTTGATTACCATCTAAAGCAATATCTTTTTTTTTTTTTTTTCTTATGGCAAGTCTTATCTTCTCAACTTTTTAATTGCAGTAGACAGGGATTGCTACGTTGATCTTTTATGTTTGCAGTATAATGATAGTTCCCTTATCTCACAGTGTTGCAGGAGATATATGTAGCCAAGGACTGGCCATGCAAGAGTGGACGGATACCCAAGACCTTGCGTTTTGATCCAGTGACATCAAAAACTAGTGGACTTTTTGTAGCGAAGTTCACAAAACTGGCTGTTTAGTCAAGAAAATGACCTGAAAATGCCAGTTAATTCAAGGTTAGTAGTTTCATGGTCAATGAATATGCTGTTTCTAGTTATACTGAGTTCTCTCTTGGTAAATCATTACCTTCAGTGGTACAAGGAAGAACTTTCAATTTGTTGTGATGCATAATTTAGTTTGATGTCATCTTTGGGAAAATACTGGTTTTCAGGCAAAATTCAATTACGAAACAAATTGGGCAAACAAATTGCGTAGTGAAGTATGTTATTAAGGGCCAAAAGTGGCAACATAATATTTATTTGGTGGTGGTTCATGCTGCTTAGTTACTTCTCCATCAAGTAGGCATGAGGAACCCCACAAGGCTGAACGTTCTTTGTCAAACGATTGGACCTTCTCCAGATTTAAATTAGATTGCACTGCTGAGACAAACAAAGAGTTGCACATTGTATAAGGTATTGTGTTTTGTAAATGAATTTAAAGATTAGTGTCGAGTTCATCCCCTTCAATCACTGTCTTTGTTGTTTCATCGGATTAACAGGATTTTCACAAGAACTGCCTCTTCTGTAATGCCCATCCACGGAATTTGTATAATTTTCCGTTTTTGCAAATATTAACAAAAGAAAACTAAATAGCTAAGCAATTGACAGTTTCAATTGCTCCCATGTAACTTGTTTTTTGATTGATTCTTCCACGTTTGTTTTATTCATGGTTGACCTTGACAGTTTGTTCCAGCGAGCTTTTTTGGGGTTTCTCGAGGAAACATCCCACCATTGGGATGGGACTTGATTTTGCGCGGAATTGTTTGGATTTTTAGTTTTCCGTGAGATTAAAACTAGAGGGACTGTAATGGATAACTAGAAAAAAAATGCAGCCCTTTAAGGGAAGAACAAAATTCAGTTGTGGAATCCAAGTACAGGGGAGAGAGAAAATGGAAGAAAAGAAAAGGGTGAAAAAAACTAGTCTCTAGAACTACACCGAAGCAGACTACTTGCCAGCATTAGATTTGTTTTAAAGCATGGAGGAAGCTGCATGGAACCATCCCATCGAGACGGTTTCTCCCGCATGCCGGCGTGTCTTTTCCATGCGCTAAACATATTTTCCATCTTCATTCAATTTAGTCCTTGATTTTATAATCATGTTTTAATCAAGTCTTGAATTTCATTACATTCCAACCTAAGGCCTTTTCTTTCGATTTAATTCTTGATTCTCTAATAGCCCTTTAATTTAGAGATGTGAACATCCTGATCATTTAGTCAAATAACTCTCAATGGAATAGATAATAACTTGAAAAAGCTAAAAATCAAGTTTTATAGAACTTTGATCCATAAATAATCCTGTATTTAAAAATTAAAAGTATTAAAAAAAACTTGGATTCAGATATAACCTTGTATTTATAAGAATTCTAAGTATGTGAATGAATAGAACTAGTTAATTTTCAATAAATGAGTGCACAATCTTTGTTCTTGTAAATAAAAATTATTTTGATACATATAAATAAAAAAAAAACTCCTATTTATTTTTCAATTTGTTGTTGATATTTGTAGCTAACAAAAAAATAATATAGTCTCTTTTGAGTTACAAGTTAATAACTCTAAACTAATAATCAAATTACATAAGTCTAATAATAAAATAAACCCTAAACAATGTCTAATGGGCAAGAAGAAATCTAAATTAAAAATAATTATTCAACATTAAATAAAAAAGATAATAAAAACAAAGTTTTCATACTAAGAATTCTTTATGTAACCTGAATCTCTAATTTTTGTACCTTCTTGTATATTTTTATTTATGACTTCAAACATTTTGTTATTTCTCATTTGGATTAATTACTAGGCATACTATATATGGTTTGAAAACTTGAGATATCTAGTTTTCAAACCAACATAAATCACAAATAAATTCCACCTTTAGTCCTAAATATATCCCAAACAATAAACAAAGGTCTTGTCTGGAAAATTTTAAAGAATTTGTCTGGTAAGTTCGACCGTATGAAATAATATGTTCCCAAACTCTATTTGATTTGCAAATTTTTCAAAATATAGTTCTATGTGTTTAGTATCTTCCTATAAAATTTTAACTTATTATAATATACAGTATGAGAGATATATTTGATTTCACAAAACTAGTTAGTAATATTTTAAGGTTAAATTCGGATATAACTTGGTTTGTACCATTTAGGTTAGAATTTCATCCATTCTAAGCCCAGTGATGTTCCCAATCGGGAAGAGAATAAATGAGGGGGAAAGAAAGAGATAGCTAGCTAATTGGGTTAGCGCATTGTGGTTTTGTGCATAACCCAATTGGGCATTTAACCCAACTTGACCCAAGGTGATAATATGTTGTCTTTAAAATGTTTTTTTTTTTTAAGATATCATCATGTTTTTTTTTTTTTATTTAAGTCGATTTATGTTTTTATCGATCATCACAGAAACTCTTACAAGGTTTAAGAAGCTTAGGTTAGACAAATAATTAGATTGAAAGGTTTTAAAATTAATTATTTAGACCAAATTTAATGGCATTATAAAAAAATTTCATGCAATTTTCCCATTTTTTAAATTAAAAAACAATTTTATTTATTTTATTTTTTAAAAAAATAGATTGGACAACATGGTCTTATGGATTTTTTTCATATCAAGGTTTCGGAAGAAAGTTATTTGACTTCTCGAACATGTATGAACAAAGAGTTTATATTTTACCTTTGTATTTCCTCTAAATAGAAATATCATTAATAGGTTTTTGGAACTCTTGGAATTGAATTTAATTAAAATTCAAAGTTTAAATTAATTTATGTGTTTGGAATTCTTTTAAAAGATATTGATTTAAATTCCAAATAGAATTCAAATCTTAAAAGAAGAAAAAAGAAAATTAGAAGAAAACCCTAAAATGTTTTTTTTTTAAATAAAAAATTCTGAATTATAAGCGAAATAATAAAAATTGCTAATTTAATTTAATTTCACAAATATTCTAAACATAATTTAATTTAATTTTTAGTTAAGTATTTCAATAAAAAAAATAAGAATGATATCTACTGAATTGGAATTGAATTAAAAAAATATATCTAGTCTCGAAATCAATGGACTGATCCCACACACAAGTGCCATCTCAAGACTGTATTTTGTTAATTTTCTTCCGATTGTTTTCCTTGAACATGAAGATCATTAGGAAATGTATGCGGTCTGAAATCAACCCAGATACGTGGTCACTGTCCACCAGGCACCGCCACGTGGTTACATATTTTATTTCAACTTGTCAGCAAATTAAAAACATCACTGCTGATGCTCTTGAAAGATGCTTTAAAAATAAAAAATTGGAATCCATTGTCATTTAAAAATAGAAAATAGAAAATTGGAATCCATTATCATCATCTTCAAGCTCTTTCATAGAATTTAAGGGATATTTTACTGGCTTTTCAAGTCTGAAAATGCAGCCCACGTAATGCGTGAGAAGAAAATATAGAGAGCTCAACACGAAATCTAACCTGGCAGCAGAGAAGGTTAGAAGCTTGTGTTGACTTTTCAAGTCTATAAACTAAAACTAAGGGCTTTTTCCACAGAATTGCGAGTGCTTAATATTTATCAATACTGATCTCTTGGTTCAGCCGTGGTGATTTCGATCTTTTTATTCAGTATTTAAGTTTAATTCTTGTCTTAGATGGGGTTAGTGTCATCTCTAGTCAGACATAGATGCTGTGGACTCCCTAAAATAATGAGTCCAGTCCTTCAGTGATCACTCCGAGCTCCATGTAAGATCTAGATTTCTTGTAATTTCATAGCTGTTGGATATAAGAACAGAAAACTAATAAGAGTGGAGGAGATGACTGGTACCGAAGAAATCACAACTCCTCTAAGTAAGACCCTCACTCTCTCTTATTGTTCCTTTTCCTTCATATGTTCCCTCAATTTCTCTCTAACTTTCCCTCTCTCGAAACACCCCAACAGTTCATCAACACAACAAGCAGACCTCTTCCAGTGTTGCCAATTCCTCCTCCACTTCAGCGGACTCCGAGGAGAACTCTCCAATCGTGCAAGTTGCACTTACTGTACCAACAACAGGTGATCCTACTCTCCCTGCTGTCACCTTTCGCACATGGACACTTGGCTCTCTCGCCTGCATCCTCCTCTCCTTCCTCAACCAGTTCTTCTGGTACCGCCGCGAACCACTCTCCATCACCTCCATCTGTGCACAGATCGCAGTGGTCCCTCTTGGCCACCTCATGGCTTCCACCATAACCAATAAAACATTCTTCATGGGAAAAAAATGGGAGTTCACGTTAAACCCCGGACCGTTTAATGTGAAGGAGCATGTGTTGATCACCATATTTGCTAATTCGGGTGCTGGAAATGTTTATGCCATTCACATTGTTAGTGCTGTCAAGTTATTTTACAAGAAGGAGTTGACGTTTTTTGTGGCGTTGCTAGTAGTCATAACGACGCAGATGCTGGGGTTCGGATGGGCTGGTTTGTTTAGAAGGTACTTGGTAGAGCCTGCTTCTATGTGGTGGCCGCAGAATCTTGTTCAAGTTTCCCTCTTCAGGTATGCATTTTGATTGGTTTTGATAAATGTTAGCATTAAATTAGTTCTGTTTCATTTTGACAGTGTGTGCATGTTTAAGAATATAAAAAATATGAGAAAATTTGTGGTAAGAAAACTTGGAAACTGCAGTGATCAATCCCCTATTGCGTTGCTGCTGATATTCACATGCTGCTGCATTTCTATAACTGACTGCAAAATTCTAGTCATTAACAGTCTGCAATGAACTAACATTTTAATTGATTGCACATTCTAGTAAAGTAAGCCTATCATCTAATTTCTCTCCATTTAGTGTAACTGAACCAAGCTAATTACGTGATACCTGAAATGAAACTGCGCTTCTACAAGTTGAGCGTGTGAATTTCTTCTAGACCTTATTGCCTTGGTTTGCTACCAAAATAGCAACTCTTTAAGTTCTACTGCTTAAATATACTGTTTGTATCTACTAACATGAAATTGCAGGGCATTACATGAGAAAGAGGAAAGGCATAAAGATGGATTAACAAGGAATCAGTTCTTCATCATTGCCTTCATTTGCAGCTTCGCCTATTATGCATTTCCGGGCTATCTTTTCCCCAAGTTAACCTCTATATCATGGCTTTGTTGGATATTCCCTTCTTCCCTCCTAGCTCATCAGCTAGGATCAGGACTCCATGGTCTTGGGATTGGTGCCTTTGGATTTGATTGGGCCACCATATCCTCTTACCTTGGGAGTCCCCTAGCCAGTCCATGGTTTGCAACTGCCAATGTTGCTGCCGGTTTTGTGCTTCTTATGTACGTTATTGCTCCAATTGCATATTGGCTCAATATTTACGAGGCCAAGAACTTTCCCATATTCTCAGATGGCCTGTTCACCTCTACTGGCCAGAGTTACAATATCTCAGCTATCATAGACCCAAAATTCCATATTGACTTGGATGCATATGACCGTCAAGGCCCTCTCTACCTCAGCACTATCTTCGCTATGATTTATGGTCTTAATTTTGCCTGCCTGACAGCCACCGTAGTTCATGTTTTCCTCTTCCATGGGAGGTAAGTCATGTATATTCATGTCAAATTGCTGCAATCAGAAGCTTGGATGCCTTCTGTTTATTTTGATATGCATATATTTGTTAAGCTAAGATGTAGTTGCCAGTTCATGGTTATACTCGAGCAAATTGTGAACCCCCTTTTGTTATGTTAAACCACATATAAACTCTTGTATTTTCTTTGCTTTCCAACTATCCTCTAGTATCAAACCATAACTAGAATCAAGATAGGGCAATTAGAGGCAGGTTTTGCTCTGCAACTGATATCTTGCATTGCATATTGATATCTATATCATGTTCTTTTAAGTTGAACTCACATTTTTTTTTTCGAGGATGCAGAGATATATGGCAGCTAAGCAAGTCTGCTTTCAGATACAAGAAAATGGATGTGCATACAAAGCTAATGAGGAAATATAATCAAGTCCCTGAATGGTGGTTCTTGTGCATCCTTTTCCTAAACATAGCAGCAACCATATTTACATGTGAGTACTACAATGAGCAACTCCAATTACCATGGTGGGGTGTCTTGCTAGCCTGTGGTATTGCCGTATTTTTCACCCTTCCTGTTGGAGTGATCACTGCTACAACAAATAAGGTACCCTAGTACGTTAATTTTCTGATCAACTCTTTCTTCTGTAATTATGTGAAATATGTTGTAGACGTGGGGGTGCCTCTACATTCTGCCATGTTTCCGCTGTCATCATTTTCAGCTTAAAATTTCTTAGATAAGAAATCCTTTAAGAGCTTCCAATAAGTATAGACAAGTTTAATTCCAATGGCACAATGCTTTCAGCATTTGTTTGAGCTTCTTGTTTTGTAACATGATGTTTTCTTTTGCAAGCAGACACCAGGCCTCAATGTGATAACAGAATATGTCATTGGCTACATGTACCCAGGATTTCCCGTTGCTAACATATGCTTTAAAGTGTACGGATACATTAGCATGAAACAAGGCATCACCTTCTTGGAAGATTTCAAGCTTGGTCATTACATGAAGATTCCTCCGAGAGCCATGTTCATGGCACAGGTTAGCTCCACTTATGTTCCTCTTCCCCATATAACATTAGCAAAAGGAAATTGCTCATCTTCATGTTTTTTTTATTCATTGAGTTTCTTGCATGCATATATGATTTTCAAATTCGCTAATTATACCCATCTATGGTCCTTGCTGCTTTTAATGAGATGATTTTTGTTTTATCCAGGTGGTTGGTACTATAATATCTGCGTTGGTACATCTAGGAACTGCATGGTGGCTGATGGAAACCATCCCAAATATATGTGATCGTGAATTGCTTTCACCAGGAAGCCCATGGACTTGCCCAGGCGACCATTTGTTCTATGATGCATCTGTGATCTGGGGTCTTATTGGCCCTCGCAGAGTTTTTGGAGATCTTGGTCGTTATTCAGCCACCAACTGGTTTTTCTTAGGCGGGGCAATAGCTCCTATCCTAGTTTGGCTGGCACACAAGGCCTTCCCTAACAAGGATTGGATTGGACTTATCTCCATACCAGTACTCTTAAGTGCTACACTCAACTTGCTGCCAGCTACCGCCGTGAACTACACTACGTGGGTTGTAGTCGGATTCGCTTCAGGCTTTATTGCTTATAGGTACTATCGCGACTGGTGGAGCCGCCATAATTATGTGCTGTCAGGGGCGTTGGATGCTGGATTGGCCTTCATGGCTGTATTGCTTTACTTGTCCTTGGGGATGTGGCATGTTAGCCTCGAATGGTGGGGGAGCGAGGCGGAAGGATGCCCGTTAGCTTCTTGCCCAACAGCACCGGGGGTCACTGTTAAAGGTTGCCCAACTTTTTAACGAGAAGTTTAAAAGAAAGAAGCGTGAAGCAGTGGTCTGCATGCTTTCAAGCACAGCAAGCTTGCAGAATAAATTATATATAAGGCATCAAGGTTTTTCACTAGCAAATGCTTTTTGGAATTCAAACTCTAAAAGCCAAAAAAAAACTAGATTTAATTGTATTTGTGTATTATTTGAATACTAATATTTGTTGAAAAAAATATGATTTCAAGAAAAGTCATTAAAAATAAGAAACAAGAATCACATTTATTATACTCTTAACTTTAACTATAAATAGAAAGGTTGTTAAAAAAAAACAATTTTTATTTTGATATATATAATTATTATATAGAAAATAAACATGCTCTACAACGGAAGGATTTGAACCTCGAAAGGGAGGACCGTTTGAAGAATTGACTTGCATGAACTTTAATAATTTTTTTTTTTGTAATTGTCGATCTTTTATCTCCCTTTGATTAAGTATTTTTATGGTGAATTGATATTCAATTGCTTATAATTTGTTAATAAAAAAAAACAAAAAAAACATAAGAGATCAAAATGAATAAAAAGATAGAGGTTTTAAATTGGAGTACAAAAATTTCTTTCATCCTTGTACTTTTCTAATCATCACTTTTCAAAACCTTAATGTTTTTTAATTTTGATTTTAATTTGAAATTTTTTTATTTTTAATTCATGATTTGAGAGATAAAAGAGAAAGTCACTAAATTTAATGATAGAGAAAAATAGTCATTGACATTAATTTTAGCCACGAAAAGATCATTCTCGATATTAATGAATTTTATTGGTGAGGGGAATTTCAATAAGGTATTTATTAGCATTTTCATTGTCTAAAATGACATATCTGAGCTCAAGAAATTTAAATTCAATTGATTTTTTTATATTAATTTTAGGGTTATTTAAAGTTATAAATGAGTTTATAAAGATTTCAATGATATTTTCTAAGTATTTGGAAATCATAATATAGTTGAACATAATAGTTTTTACCACAAAATATCCATGGTCTAATTTTTTTGTTTATAAAATAGTTGTTGAAAACTAGACTAATAGATAACAATTCATATATAATATTATATTTTAAAAAATACATGAGGGCAAACATTCACCCTCTGATATTAAAAAAATATTAAGAGGATTGACATGTCTATGCATGTATGACCTATATTGTTTACTTATTATTTTGTTGTTATTTGGTGTTTTTTTGATGTATTTTACACATTGATTAATGAAAATAAATTGCATAAAAATAATTTAATTTTTTTATTGAAAACTATTAGAATTAATTTTTTATGAAATCATAGCATTTTTTTTTAATTAGATTGAAAAAAAATTATGTTGATCTTTATTTTCTCAATCCAACGTGCTTGTCAAAAATTTTCTTCCTTTAAAGAATTTTTTTATCAATAAAAAATAAAGTAATCTCATATACATGGTTGTCATGACTAAATAGAGAATAATATCAAAGATAAAAAGTTATTAATCAAGTGGGTTTTATTACCACAGTTGATGTTTGATAGGTTAACTTGAGTTTTTTTTTTAATTTAATATTTTGATTTATAATTTCTTTCTTTAACATTAGATTGACTGAGAATTAAAAATTTGTTTTTAATTTTTTTATAGGATAATCATAGTCTCATGATCCAAATTGCAAGTTTGGTTGGTTAACCTAAGCTAACACATGTCAATCTAATATATTATTATCTTAATATGTCGTCATCTTAAATTTAAAAAAATATATTGTCCAATATGCATCCTATTTTGAATTCATAATTAAAAATCAATGTCACTGTCTTAATATATATATATAATAGATGTTGTTTTGAATTTGTTTTAGTCAAGTCATATTTTTTATCAATTTTTTAAGTCTCTTTTAAACCTAACAAGTGGATTGGATCTTACCAGGTCAATTTTCTCATGATTTCTTTGTAAACTTAGGTTATGAATGAATTCAATTTAAAAGATTTTAAGGATGACTAGCTAAGTCAGGTTTCATGGAACTTTCAAGAAGTGCCCTTTAACAATGTGTATGCATTGTATTATTCCTTAAGTTTTTAAATACATCCAAATTAAATTATTAGGGTTTTTTTTTATTTAATTTAGAGATCATTTTTAAGAATTGTTTTTTTCTAAAAGACATGATTGAATGCCTAAATAGGTTTCGTATATTTAAAAAATAATTAATGTAACTTGTAATATAGTAGAAGCCACCTATCTAGTAATATAATTAATTTGATTGTATTTTTTTATGTAACTTGTAGTAAATGTGCTTCTTTGGTTATCATTATTAATAGTAATTCTTTTATATTGTATTACGCTTCAGCTGAAAATAGAAAACAAAATTATCTCTCTTTCTCTCAATGATAATCAAAGACGAAATGGAGGGATGCACTGCAAATCTAGATAAAAAGTAGTAAATTTGAGCTAAAATTGCCGAATTAGCAGTTGATTATGATACAAGAGTCTTTTCATAAAAATATATATTTTCCTTAATTAATTTTTATGTTCTTTTATTTTGATTTTTTGACTTGAAGAAAATAGTTTTCCTAGTGTTTTTCTTTTCTTTTCAATATCATTAGAGGTTTTTTTTTCTATATAAAAAGTTATAATAGTTTTTTAGTAATGCTAATTGTGATGAATAAAAATAAAACATTTTTATAGTTTTGACTTGTAACAAATTTTTTATCCTTCATTTCTATATCCAATAATTATTGGTAATTTTAGTTAGAGGTATTAAAGTACATGTATCATATCTCAATGATTCTTGATGGTTGATTATTGTATTTTGTTTATTAACCATAGTTAAAAGAGATTACAAGACTGAACATGCTTGTGTTGGAGGGGATGAAAGTTTCCCTTTAAACAAAAGATACCCTGGAACTAGTGTATTGTTTTCATCTACGTTAATTGTTATTATCAAAAACCATAATTACAGGATCCATGGTGGGATGATTTGCATAAATATGTTGTATTAGAAATTCACAATGAGATGGTATGTACAGATAGGTGACAAGCATAAATTTGTTAGAGATCCATGATGGAATAATTATATATAAAATGATGTTTATGGTGTACAACGGTTTGTGACTGATGTCTAAATTAGAGGACGAGTTTTTTTTAAATTAAGAGACTAATGTAAGAGTTTTTTTTTTTAAATAAATATTTTTCTTGGTTAATTTTATATAACGGTTTGCGACTGATGTCTAATTAGAGGACGAGTTTTTTTTAAACCGAGAGACTAATGTAAGAGTTTTTTTAAAAAAATAAATATTTTTCTTGGTTAATTTTATGTTTTTATTTTTTTTATTATGTGATGTTTTTTTATTTTTTCCTATTTAAAAAAAATATTTTTTCTAGTTTATTTTTCTCATTCAATATTATTGGAATTTTATAGTGTTTTGTTTTTATATAAATTAATAGTTAAGTTTGTTCTAGGTTGTGTGAGTAAGTAATGGTGGTGCCAATAGTGTTGTCTAGGTTGTGGAGTGGTGGTTGTTTTTACCTGAACAATCAGTTTTATTGGTTGGTGGATGAAAAAGGGTTTGTTGTGGTTGGTAATAACAATAGATGAAGAGAAAAATGGACTGATGTTGGATGCTTGGTTTTTGGTTTGACTATTCGTGAGAGATTGTAGTAGAAAAAAATAACTAGATAATAGTTAATTGGTATTGGATCGGGTTATTGTCTCTATCATGAGTGTTCGAGGAATTATTAGTCTATGTTGGAACTTTTATTCATGGGAAGAATTGAAAATATCTACTTTGATACTAAAGCAGATGTTAAAAAAAAAGCTTTAAAAAAAATAAAAGATAGAAAAGAAAAAAGGAAAAGGAAGAAGAAGAAGCTTGAAAAAAAAAATATATGAAGAAAAGAGAAAGATGGAAGGGGAGAAGTAGAAATCCATATATTTTTTTTAATTCCTTATAAAATTAAGTATAAGGTAACATAATAATACATATAAATAGTGAAATCTTATATAACAAATAATTATACAAAATATCCACTAAAAATAAATAAAATCTAAAATAGAATAACATTAATCTAAATAATAAAACTCAAATAAATGTCTTAAGTCCAATAATAAACTTAAATATGATATCTTAACTAAAAAGTGATAGATTGGCTTGTGGATTCATTAACATATTTATTTTTGTTTCTCTCACTAATATTTCATGGATTTTTGTAACGTATTATTCTTGTCTAGTATTATAAGACTTATTTTAGAATGTTGTTTTTTTTTTTTTTCACTGTCCATTGTAGTTCTTGATTGCCTCATATTTCCCTTTATCACTTCACATCCATTATGTTATTTGCAGGAAATTTACGACACCAAGACCTCTATGGATTGCAGCTTCTCAAGTCCTAGTGACACAGGATTTGCCAGCACTGGTCTTGGCTACTGAGAACTATTTGATCTCAAGTATTATGACTTGTTATACAATCTTTCGTTTGGTTCCTTCCTCTTCTCTGGCATGCTTTCTGGTTATCTTTATGATGCTCAAGCTACTAGTATTCCTGCCGGTGGTGGCAATACTTGTATTGGCCCTTATTGTTATTTTCCTGTCTTTCAGATAATGGCTTTTACCTGTGTTGTGAGGCTTGGATTGGATGTGTAAATGGAAATTTGAATAAGGTATATCCCAAGATTTACATAGACAGTAGAAGTTGCTTAGGATTTTGTTCATCAAAAGCTTATTCGCTAATGACCTGAAATTAGAATAGCTGACTAATGCTGGTAGAGTTTGTTGTTTGCTACTGCTGTGTGCTCATATCATAGTTGTTGGTGTGAAGCATTTGATTTTTGTCTCTCTTTTGTTCATAAAAGAATCACAACTTTACAATCGTTTGAAAGAGATTTACTGATCAGTGTTCATTTCTATAACAAAAATATGCATTTCTATAACAAAAAGACTAAAGCTTATTCAAATATATAAATGGACACATTTTTTCATGTTTTTATGAGGACACATCGATTTTTATTAGAAATCTTAGATTGGAGAGATAGAGAAAGTCAAGATCACCAAATGATAAGTTAAAGTTGGAGTACTCAAATAAAACAACAAAATAAAATCTAAGGATTAG